ATTGCAACAGCTGTGTTTGGTGAAGAGGATGATACCGACGAGGTTATCGTGTACGTTAAAAATATCAAAAACGAGAATGGCTCGGTGATATGCTTGATGTGAGAGAGGCGTAGTCATTGAAACTCTGGATGCCGATTACGAAGATGTGGTTTCTTTAAATAATCTAAGTGTTATTAATACTATGCGCTGTGGAAAACATGTCAAGAATTGCGCATTACAAAATGTATTTAAAATATATAACTGGTGGTCACACCATCAAATAATACAATAAAATGTATAATTTTAATATTATAATCAATAAAATGTGAAATTTTTAAAATTATATTTTAATTTCTCTCCATTTCTTTGTAGTTAAAATCAGGCATATATGTATATAGCACTACTACTACACTGAGATGTGTGTGTTTATATTTATCTTTGACGCGGATCAAATTTCTACCTGGCGATGATTGCGAACAAATAAGATTTCTATACAGTTAGAAACGATAGCGGTTTGATAGAATAGGTTCAATAGACGGTTCAACAGGCTGTTCGATTGGACAGACAGACGGTTCGACAGGCGGTTCGACAGAACATCGGTATCGGTTCGACTGGCGGTTCGACAGAACAGCGGTGTCGGTTCGACAAATCAGCGATATCGATTCGATAGAACAGGGGTATCGGTTCGATAGGTGGTTTGATGATGGTTTCATACTATGTGTCTTCGTGACATTGCTATGGCATTGAGATGCGTCGAATGCTGACACGGTTATTTTTTATCTTGACCCGTATGAAATATCTAACTAATGATGGTCGCAAAAGTATATGATTTTCTTGTAGTTAAACTAATAGCGGTTTGATAGAACAGAAGTATCGGTTCGATAGGCGATTGATGATGGTTTCATACTATGTGTCTTCGTGACATTACCTTGACATTGAGATGCAGCGAATGCTGACACGGTCATTTTTTATCTTGACTCGTATAATATATCTAACTAATGAAGATCGCGAAGGAATATGATTTTCTTTGTAGTTAAATTAATAGCAGTTTGATAGAACAGACAGGTGGTTTGACAGGCGGTTCGACAGAACCGGGGTATCGGTTCGACAGGCAGTTCGACAGATAAGGGGTATCGGTTCGACAGATCGGCGGTATCGGTTCGACAGATCAGCTGTATCGGATCGATTGGCGATTCGATAGCAGTTCCGTAAAAGCGTTTTTTATAGTTACGATTGTTTCAATTTCAATTATATTCTTTATAGCTGCTATCATTTCGGGGGAGCGTGTGTGTTATATAACGTATATATCAATATCATCCTCACGGTGAGCGCATTATCAGGTAGGAGAGATAATTATTTCTATGGCTTGCATTTTTACTCGCGGGTTCTCGTGGAGCCCTTGAGTCAGTTGACGTTGAGTCGTTGTGACTGTCAAATCACAAAGTCAATAAATAACCATAAAGATGAAGTGCATTGTTTGCGAAAAGTGCTTTGTGCCCAGCACATGTGATAGGTGCTGGTGCAGATATTGGCTGCGAGCAGCCAGACGCCACGCGGCGTCGGGTCATGAGGACGAGTTTTTGCGGACCCTGGCGAGGGCGAGAACGCCTCCGCGGAGCCCGCAGGTGGAGTGTCCACAACC